ATTTATTTCAAAACCCCCTTCCCCTCCCCCTTTTCTGATGAAGGGTCGAGGCCCGAAACGTCAGCCTCTCTGCTCCTATGATGCTGCTTGGCCTGCTGTGTTCATCCAGCCCTGCACCTTGTTGTCTAACTTATGTATGGTGTGTGCTGCACTAGTGGGAATGGCCTGGTCTTGTTCAAATTTTTGTGGTTGTGCAGAAGAGGCGATCAGTAGATTCTAGTCCTGTGTGAAAGTGGGGATGATTGTACATGGATAACTGATCAGATTGATCAATAATATCGAGGTTAATGGAGGATTCTCATTTATACAGTGCAAGAGGCCACACTCACCCGCTTGTACTTGTCTGATACTCCCCTACGGGTCAGTGCCTCCTTCAGTGAGGCTAGGTTACTGTTGCTGTGGCGTTCATACCGCAGAGCATACAGCATCACCAGCCTCACTGCATCCAGGTCCGTCACTTTGGGATCCTGCAGCAGTTTCCTCACATTCTGCAGGACATGGAGAGGGAAAGTTATTTCAGCAGCAATCACAGTACCTCCTCCAAACACCAACACCAGAGCTACATCCAAACTCAATTCACAGAATGACAGAGGTGTTACAATGTAGAACAAGGCCTTCTGGGCCATCAAGGCTGCACTGACCTTCTGAGCATTTTGACTTTGTGCCATCCTCATAACCCTTCACACCATTTCTATTTAACTAATTATCCAGTGCCCTCCGGAACGCCTCAACCAAACGTTGCCTCCACCACATTTCCAAGCAGTGCATCCCAGACCCTATCTCCTTGCTGTGTGAGAAAATGTTTTCCCTCCTCCCTAACCTGCAATACACCATGGTTGTGGCTGTCACTGACCACTCACCTTTTGCACTGGTAGGCACAATATGTCTAATACCAGAGGGCATGCATTTATGGTGAGGGGGGAAAGTTCAAAGGAGATGTGAGGAGTTTTTTTTACACAGAGTGGTGGAGTCTACAACGTGCTGCTATGGGTGGTGGTGGAGGCAGATACGATAGGGGTGTTTAAGTGACTTTAAGATAAGTACATGAATATGCAAGGAATGGAGGGATATGGACCAAAGGCAGGCAGAAGGGATTAGTTTAATTTGGCGTCCTGTTCGGCACAACATCATAGAACATAGAACATAGAACATAGAACATAGAACATTACAGCGCAGTACAGGCCCTTCGGCCCTTGATGCTGCGCCGACCTGTGAAACCAATCTGAAGCCTATCTAACCTACACTATTCCATTATCATCCATATGTTTATCCAATGACCATTTAAATGCCCTTAAAGTGGGCGAGTCTACTATTTTTGCAGGCAGGGCATTCCACGCCCTTACTACTCTCTGAGTAAAGAACCTACCTCTGACATCTGTCCTATATCTATCACCCCTCAATTTAAAGCTATGTCCCCTCGTGCTAGCCATCACCATCTGAGGTGAAAGGCTCCCACTGTCCACCCTATCTAATCCTCTGATCATCTTGTATGTCTCTATCAAGTCACTCTTAACCTTCTTCTCTCATGGGCCGAAGGGCCTGTTCCTGTGATGTACTGTTCTATGTTCTAACATGAAGACCCTCCTCCGCCAAGCAGCCCAAGCCCCTGAACCTCTCCATGTGACAGAATCTCCATTTCAGTCAGTGCTTAATGCTCAGTCACCCAATCCACCAATTTCTCCTAACTTCAAGAGAAACACTGCCCATCAGTAAGAGGAGGGCTCAAGTGGTGAGCTGTTCACATGAAGTAAGAGATCTTAATGTGTGGGGGGGGGGGGGTTGACATGATTGCTCGTTTCCTGGAACTGCGAACGTGTAGCTGTGCAGTGAGTAGTGAGGACAGTACAAGTGAAAGTTTACCCTCCAGATCTGGAAGTAGGGGGCAAGGAAGTTGCATGTGGCCTTTGAAGAGACAGAATATCAGACAGGAGAAAAATATCAAGCAGCAGGAGTGAGGGGCTAGCTGTGAGTCCGTTGGCGACAGTCTGTGCACACATTTAATTCGTCATAGGTCATAGACTGGGGCTCTGCGATTCCATGGGTCACAGCTAAACAGAGCACACTCTGTCTTTCTCACTACCATGCACTCTCAAATCTCAGTATCCTTCTGCAAAAATACAAAAGGCCTTGTCACCACCATAATTAAGGAATTAAAATGCAGAAGACTATTTAAAAGTTGTGGTCAGAGGGGTTTTGAGCAGAATGGCAAAAATTCAAGAACAGAGAAACAGTCCAGTGTCTGAAGATCGTGACACAACTCTTTCTGGGACCGGGCTTTCATCTTCAACAGCAAAGCGTCAATTGGCCTTATTTCTCATAAAATCTTAAAGAACCAAATGATAGGGAAAGTCTGTGTGATCTCACGGTTGCAATTTCCAAACAACCTACAGTCAGTTCAAAGAATTACAAGAGAAAGAGTCAATCATAACACTCCTGTAAAACTTCCTCTCACCTCTCAAACAGCTCAAATACCAATGAACTGAAATCACCAAGAATAACTTGCCCTGCTACACTGTGTCAAGTGGACTGTAAGTAGTGCCATAGAAATGAAGGAACAGGGCACAAAGTCAGTGTGTGACTGAAGCATGTGGAACAGTTTTGAGGGAGAGACTGGTCAGCAGGTTGTCTGGTTAGGACCTGGGGAACCTTGGAGGAAAAAAATATCACAGCATGATCAAGGCAGTGGCATCAGTATGTCTAGTCAGGGAATATTTATATGTCAAAGATAGCAACCAATGAAACACTTGGTGGATAAACAAAATTACAGCATATATGGGGCACAGAGAGCATAGAATCCCTACAGTGAGAGAGCAGGCCATTTAACCCATCAAGTCCACACAGGCCCTCCAAACAGCATCCCACCCAGACACACCCCCCTGTAACCCTGCATTTCCCATGGCTAATCCACCCAACCTGCACATTTTTGGACTGTGGGAGGAAACCAGAGCACGTGGAGGAATCCCATGCAGATTCCCATGGGGCAAATGTGCAAAATCCACTCAGACAGGTACCCAAGGGTGGAATCGAACCTGGGTCCCTGGCGCTATGAGGCAGCAGTGCTAACCACTGAGCCACCATGCCACCTGAGCATACACTAGCACGGATTGAGAAATAGATGAAAACTGAAAGTCGGAATAAACAGATCATTTTCAGGCTGGCAAGATGCATCAGGTGGAATATTGTAAGTATCACCACTTGGGGCCAAGCTATACACTGTCAATATCAATGCTTTGGAGGCGAGAACTTCAGTTATGAAGAAAGGTCACTGGACATGAAAAATTAACTCTGCCTCCTCTCCACAAATGCTGCCAGACTTGCCTAGTTTTTCCAGCAATTTCTGTTTATGTTTCTCATTTCCAGCAACCAGAGTATTTCTTTTAAAGATGGAACATGATTTTGATAAATTGAGGTTACCCACTTTAGTAAGAAGCATAAAGGTGTAGACTATTTCTAAAACAGTGAGGTTGGAACTGTTGATGTCCAAAGGAACCTGGGTGACTGTGTTACTGAATCACTGAAAGCTAATGTGCAGCTGCAGCAAGTCAACAGGAGGGGAAACAATACATTGGTCTTAAAATGTAAGAGGCTTTGAGTACAGGAGTAAAACCATCTTGCTGCAGTTGTACAGAGCCTGGGTGGTCTCCTAATCTGAAGGATATCTCACCGCGGAGTAAATGCAGCAAAAAGGTCATCAAATAGATCCTTAGGCTGGTGAGATTGCTCTATGAGTTAAGATCAAGGAGAGACTGGGCCTATGTAAGTCTATGGACCAAGTGACTGAAAAATGGGATTACAAGTAGTTAAGTGGTTGTTTTTGACTGGCACAGATTCAAAGGGCCTTTTTTCTGTGCTGTAAGTCTTTGACTCTGATTGACTTTCAACTACCCTCTGAAATTACCTTGAACTTAGTGGCTTGTAAGATCATTAGGTAGGGATTTGCAGAAATGCTGACCTTTCCAGAAACAACCCTATCCCATGAAAGAATAAAGAGAAAAAAAACTTGTCAGACCCTTTATCCTGAGATGAAACAGTACTGGGGGTCTGATGCCCATTCAGGTACATATTCCAATGGGCTTTGCAGGCTGACCAGGAGCATGAAACCTAGGGTGGCAATGGCCTAGTGATATTATCACTAGAGTATTAATCCAGAAACTCAGAAAATGTTCTGGGGACTAAAGGTTCAAATCCTGCCACCGCAGGTGGAATTTGAATTCAATAAAAATCTGGAATCAAGAGTCTAGTGTTGACCATGAAACCATTGTCGATTTGTTGGGGAAAACCCATTCGGCTTTCTCATGCCCTTCGGGGAAGGAAAAAAACTGCCATTTCTCACCTGGCCTGGCGACATGTGACTCCAGATCCACAGCGATGTGGCTTTTTTTTATTCATTCACGGGATGATGGCGTGGCTGGCTAGACCAGCATTTATTGCCTCTGAAATGGCCAAGTGAGCCACTCAGTTCAAGGGCCACTGGGGACAGGCATAAGCCAGCAAAGCCCACGTCCATTGAGTGAATTAAAAAAAACCCCTCAAGAATCTAAAAGTGGTGGATATCAATGAAGCTTACAGAATTTTTCCAGGACGCAACAGGGTAGATGCTGGAAAGATGTTACCCCTGACTGGAGAGGTGCTTGTCTCCAACCAGGGAACAAAGTCTCAGAATAAAGGTATCAGTCAGAGAAATATAGAAAATTGGAACAAAATAGACCATTCAACCCTTCCAGGTTGCTCTGCCATTCAATACAATCATGGCTGATCATCCAACTCAGTACCCTTTTCCCACTTTCTCCCCATACCCTTTGATCCTTTAAGCTCTAAGAATTATATCACATTCCTTCTTGAAAACATTAAATGTTTTGGTCTCAACCACTTTCTGTGGCAGAGAATTGTATAGGCTTACCATGCTGAGGGAGGACACTTCTCTTCTGAATCTTAAAAGATATGTCCTGAAAGAACTCCATAGATGCCAGTATCCCATCACCAAATCATCCTTTATTTACATTTGAAGAGTCCTTGACATTGATCCCGCTCCCTCGGAGCCAGCTCCCAGAGTGAACAGGATGTCTGACAATCCTGATTTTATCTGTCAGCCAGGGCTCCCTGATTGGACCAGGTTAACTGCCCCAGTCAGGGAGTTCAGATTCAAGTTCTGAGGAAGGGTCACCGGACCCAAAACGTTAACTCTGTTTTCTCTTTCACAGATGCTGCCAGACCTGCTGAGATTTTCCAGCAACTTTGTTTTTGTTCCTGATTTACAGCATCCGCAGTTCTTTTGGTTTTTATTTTAGTTCAGATTCCATGATGTCTACCTGGCTGATCTCATCACAATCACTACATATCCTGGCTCATTAATTGTGATCCCGATCTCTGCACTGACCGGTCATCACGAACAGTCTGCTGCACCCACCCTGTCTAGTCCTGTTATAATGTTATTGGTTTCTAAGAGAAACCCCCTCATTCTTTGAAACTGTAGTGAATATAATTCTAA